GTTTATGGTGGTAATAGATAGTGATGGAAGAACTGCAAAAGATTTAGATTAATGGGGTATTAGTTTAGAGTTCCTGCCCAGTTTACATACCTCGGAGTTCCAAATGCATTGCAAAAAATTATCTACATTATTTGTGTCTGCAAAATTTGGACTGGATATTTCCTTAGGAGAGGCTATTTGATAATAGATCTGGTGATTCTTTTTCTGGAAGCTAAACCTGCAGTTGAGTTTAGAGGATTGGGAATGAAAGTGTGCATGAGGAAAGGCTATACAGGGGAAGATGTATCATATCTTTCTCTATAGCCAAGTCACAAAATATAGGAATATGCGATTGCTAAACTGTTGAGCTGTTTGTTAGGCGATCTGAGGGACAGGGATCTTGGCGTCCTCCATAAACTTTAATAAAATTTGTTATTTATTATCCTGTAGATAAAAAAACCCTGCCATATCATGTCTGTTTGCTCTAAGACTATTTGCTTTTGTTTGTGCATATTCAGTCTTTATGCTTCTCTTAATTCAGATTTTAGGGGCAGTACTTACAGCTGTTTATACACTAAAGCACTGTTCTGAGGGATATTTCAGATGAACTGGACACAAAAATTTGCATGAGAGACATTCTTATTAGAAAATGCTATTTCGGGAAGAGCAAAAATTTCCCCCAGGTCCCCCGGAAGGTGTTAATTTTTTGTGAAGAATTGTGACAAAAGTGTCTTTAAGATAAGCTCAAAACCTCAGCATTTTTAAAGAAATCTGGCTGCTTCTTTTTGCAATGACTTCTGATTTTAAAATCTGTTTTCAATTCCGTAGAGAAATATGGTCTCTGAAGTCAAAAACAGGGGAGGGGGCAGGGGGAACAGTATTTATTCATATTACAACTCAAAAGAAATAAAATGTGGCAATTCCTTGTGGAACAGAGGCTGAACCTGTAGGAGTCATCTCTTCATCTGAATGTTTCTGTTGTCTTCCCTTGGTTCCAGATAGAGGTAAGAAAGGTGTTGTAGTGCTGAAGTTCGTATCACCAGTGGTTGGTGAAGGAGAGACACTTGAGTAGGATATGCTGCAAAGAATATGAACCTCATGTTGCACACATGGCTTTGTACTACGTTGCCTGTCTGTTCTCAGAGCATAATGCTGTATTGCAAAACAGATTACCTGATGGTAAGGCAAAATGTGTAGTCCCAACTGGAGATGCAGAAGTCCATCTGTGTGTAAAAACACACAGTTTGACACCGGGAGACTTGTCAAAAACTGTCTCAGTGAGATATAGGAAGGGGCAAAGATTTGTGGCAAGCTTTTCTTCAAACTTGTTTGCTCATGCTTACCTTGGATGTATTGCCAGTGCCTGTGGACAAGAGATTACCTTGGCTGTGTTTTAAATTGCCAGAAAATTTAAGAAACAAAGGATTACTTCAATCTTTGTTAAAATGCTGAGCTAATTAAGCTTCTAAGTTGTATTATTCCAGTGCTTGCTACACAGAAAATTAAGGTAAAAACATTGACATGAATTTCCCAAATGTATGGACCATTATTCTCCCATTTAAGATCTGAATGGGCTGGAAAGATTCTTACTCTTCAGAAAGACACATTAGACTGTAGCATCACTAACTTGTAACACTTGAATTAGTAAATACGTTAGTATCGTCCTATTTTAAGATATTGTAGCATGTTACCCATAAAGTGTAACTTTAGACCTGTCCTGCCCTACATTTTAGGGGGGACTGTTATGTTTCTTCAGTCAGGCTGTGCATGCGCCTAATTTTTGGCAAGGGTGTCTATGTGAACTTCAGGTAATAATACAGAGCGTCAAGCACAGGCTGTGGACAAAGCCTGTCAGTGATGTTGGATGTTATCTTAGCTTTATTAGTCTAGGTGAAACTCCAAACCTTGCTGGTGGGAAGTCTGTAAAAAGGCTGACGTTGAGCCTTCGTTTTGTGTTGATCAGCAGTGTTGCATCTGCACAGGGAAAGTGATGAAGGTCTTTCTGTGCAGGCTTATAATACAGAACCTCAAAACAGTCATAAGCAATCTTTATGGTTCCTCACCTTGATCCAGTGTTCAGTAACACTGGATAATTAAAAAGCACTTATGTCTTGTTATAGTAATTTTCTAAGTGTCCTATTGCCACACATAGCACCAGTGATTTACAAAGTAAATTCTGCTTTATGAGTTTTGGTGGACTTCTCTTTCTTTCCCTTCAGTTTGGCTTTCTCGGTTCTCATGTTTTCCTTCTGTCATCATTTCTGCCCTTGATACTGCCTTCTGTACAACAAGATTTTCTCTACACATGCTCTTCAAGGACTCTTCCTGGTGGGCTTCTACCCCTCTCCATCCTTCTGCTAGTAGATTAGATGGGAAATAGTTAATGTTGACATTCCCAAATGTTATCCAAAGGTTTTTTCAGTTAAGCTGAGTCACAAAAATGGTTGCCATTACTCCAGGTTTTCTGTTCCCGATTCTAGACTACAATTCTGCATATGTTAAATGGAAAGAGAAGCTATTTTTTGCATCCATAAATAGTAGATAATTTCTTTCAAGCAAAAGCTCAAATTTCATGATACCTATCACATGTTCCGTCATTTCTCACATGTCTGACACTATTGCAAAAACAGAGAGAAACTGTGCTGCTGAACATATTCATTTTCTGTCCCACTGTAGCCAGGACTGTGGTAGATTTTAAACTCTGTTCCAGAGGCTCAGAGTCCCAGCCAAGGTACTGCAGAGCTGGCTGAAATTTTCCTTTTAAAGCGTGTTCTCGTCCCCAGATGACTTCGTGCAGCACTGGCTGGCAGCGGCAGGTGGGTGAGTGCCTAGTCATGCCACAGCAAAGGATCACAGAAAGAACTATTTCGTCCTTCTTGGCATGGTATCATAGAAGAGCACAGGATAACAATGCTGTTGCTGTAGGCAATCCAAACCTGCAAGGCTTTCCTCCATAGTACTGAGATAATAAACTCGATGAGTGGGGTACCCAAGCGCAGGTGAAATTCCTCAGTGCAGTTTGCATTTGTATCTGTGAGTTGGAAGATGTTTAATCAGCTTAAATTTCTTTGCTATTGTCAGGCAAATGCTCACTTTCGCATTTCTGTGTGATTCTGTACAATCTCAGGTGGAACCTGGAGACTGCTTAGGAAGGGTTTTAATCATAGGAGTGATTCCTTCCCTTCATGACCTGTAAAAGCTTTATGTGAGGAAAAAACAGTATTTCTATCATCTAAAAAAATAACTTTATGGGCCTTTGCTATTCAAAGAGTGTAAGATTGGCCTGTATGACACTACCGTATCGTCATTCTGACCTGTTAAATTTATTTTTACACTGTTTTTTTAATAGTTCTGTGGGAATGTAGCAATTGCCAAACCAATGGCAATCATGAAATACTTGGTGGTTCTGTGCTGGTGAGCTATGGAAAGCAGAGCTGCTTGCCCTCTGCTTTTCTGTTGCACATATCCTTAGCTGCTGCCTTCGAAGAGTGATTTGGGACACGCTTACATTGAGGCAAATGTAGAAATTACTCCAAAAAAGCAGTTAGTCTAGGGCAAAAACTAGCGTGAAACTGGAGTGAACCCTAATCCAATACCTTTTGTTTACTAGTGGGTAATGTTTTCCTTTCAGTGATTCTTAGTGCAATGTTTCACAGAGGAGCTGAAAGTTGGCAAAAAAGACTGTCTTTGAAAATTTGGCTCCAGCTAATTTTATACCTAGAAGCAGAACTGTGAATGATCTGCTGCAACTGGCTAATTAAATCCTGTGCTGTTAGCCCTCAATTAGATGCATTAAATTGCAAACCTTGTTAGCAGATTTGCTGGCCAAATATGGAGAGATTCCATATATCATTCTGACTACTTTGTATTTGGGCTCTTAAAGAATGTTTGCAGCTTGTCTAATGTATCTGTATGTACAAGAGGGGAAAAAAGAAACAGATTTTGGATCTCTCCCTGTGTTGGTATGTCAGACGGTGTCCCTGTTCAATCAGCGAGGTAAAACTCCCCTTACGTTTTTGGGGTTTTTTTGGGTTTTCTTGTTTTTTGTTTTTTTTTTCTTTAATGTTTCTTGGACTGTTACCATCAGGTTTTTACAGTCTGTTGCCTGCCTCTCAGATTGGAAGAACACTGGCATATTTTAACAGTTTCGTAGGATCCAAATAGTCTTTAATTAACAGGGAATTGATGTTTTGGAGTTGGAGTGCAACCAAAACATGGGAGATATTGGAAGCAGAGAACGGGCTTGGATCCTTCCAGCTTTTCGCTGGCTGTGGCAATGGGAAACAAATAAGTAAAACAGGGTCCGCTGCAAACAGGTAGCAACTTATTGGTATGCAAGGGGATTTCTTCATTTGCACTAAGTTCCCACGGAGCTGGTGGTTTGTATCGTTAGCCGGGAGGAGCTTTCTGCTGCACAGCATCTCAGTCAGCTCCACCCCTTGCGAGAGCAGAAAGTCTTCTTTGGTGCCTCCCCATAAACTGGCTGCTGAAATTGTTCTTAGTTTAGATTTGTATCGATCAACTCTAGAGGCAGCAAGGTATGTTGTGTTCGTGAGGTTTAGGCTGACTCTGAAGCTGTAAGCTCCATGAGTGAGTGTTGAATTAAAAAAATCAAGATTCTGCAAATGAATATGACTTTTGCTGAGCCGAACAGGTAGTTGTTGTTGTTTTTCTTCTGGAGCAGCTTGCCTTTGGAGGGTTGAGCAATAGGGTTGGAGTGAAACACTGAAATTATAACAGGATGAGACTAGCTGAAGTTCTAAAGGGCAGTCAGGCATACGCTGAACTATTGGTCCAGATAATCCAGGGAGAGAAATGGTTTATTAGCTAATTTTAAATAATGATAGATTGATACCTGAAGCAATTACTGGCAAAGAATTACAATCAACAGCCACTGAATGAGCTGTGCTCTTTTTCAGTAATGCAGTAATTTGTGGACAAATAAAAATGTATTTCTTTAATCCCATATTGGCTTTTTATTGCTGGTTTTTTGTGTTGGCTTTTTCCCCCACTAATCGTAGTACTTGCTGAATGCCTCCTGTCTCTTTCTACATCTAGGTGGTACATGCCAGAGCCCTGCTCTTCCAGCCCTAGTGCGTCCTCCTGCTCCACCTTTGCAGCCGTCACTGGATATTAAACCATTTCTTCCGTTTCCTCTGGACACTGCTGCGGCAGTCAATCTCTTCCCCAACTTCAATGCAGTAAGTACACTCCTAGCAGTTACTGTCCACTTCAGTGAGCCACAGTTTCCATGGCAGACTCAAGAGGGCACAAAGTAGAATTTTATGTACTCAATTAAACCTGGAATATCCTCTCCCTTACTGAGGGCCAAAAAGCTCTTAAAGACACACTGGTAGGCCATAAATTAAAGCCTAGCTGAGTGTTAGCCAGAAGCAATCTAGAAGGAAAAAATTATATGATCCCAAGTGACATGCAATGAAACTGCAAGCCATATTCAATCACAGGGCTTGTGAGTTTCCCCTCTAATTTAAGATGTGCGGGGTTTCGCTAACCTGCAGTTCACTGCAACTCTCAGACAGCGAAACTCAGAGTGATGGCGTTCTACATCCCGTCTCCAACAGGCTACCTGGGAAATACATAAAATTTACAAATTGGAGGGGCTACAAAAGGTAAAACAGTCAGGGCAATTAAAGCAAGAATGAGAACAGCATTAGCTGGTATATGAGATATTCATTGGCAAACAATCCACTGTATTTTTTTCACATTGGGGTATTTTATTTCTCAGGCCTGAGGTTAAAACAAGGTTAGATTTTGCTTTAAAATTTTTTTTTAAGTAGTCATATTATCTGTGACTATAGAAATCTTATTCCTTCTTAGGTATTTTTATTATTTTACTGACGTGTCGTGAATATTTCAATTTTTCTGTTTCTAGCTGAGATATGTAATGCTCTTAAAGAAAAAAAAAGTCTGAATTGGTTTTACGTTAATTTTGACTTTATAGAATTATGCCATTTTTTAATTTGAACGTACTCTGGGAAGTTCTTTTCCTCATTTACATATACTGGATAGAGAAAAAAAAATTAAGAATGTATGAGCTTACCTACTTTGAGAGACACAGAGAGGCCAAAACAATTCTAATTAACATGCAAAAATCTTAATTATAATAATTAAGAGTGGTAAAAAAACATGCACATTCTAGAAGCAATTTTTAGTAATCAATAGCAAATTTCTGTAATTAAATGTTCATTTATTTACCTTTTATGGATGTTCATTTTGCTTTAAAGAAATTAAAATGAACTAATTGTCAAAAATATTTGTGCAGTCTTAAATTCAAGCAATTTACAGCATTAATAGATATCAGAGAAGCTATAAGCTGCAAGTCTTCAAATGCTCAGAAACAATATGTCAAAGAAATTTCTTATTACAAGGAAACTTTTTCTAATTTTAAAATGTATATAGGTATGCAGCAAAGTTTTAAAAAGTGCTGCTTTTAACCAAGTTACTAGTAACTCATAATGAAATGGATAAACCGTTAGACTTGTTCAGTATGCTTTAGGTCTTTTCTTACTAGTTTTGCTTTGTGATCACTGTTTGTATTTAATACAGTAGGCCAGCTGAATTTTTGGACATTGTCTATTGGGATTTCTGTTTTTTTCAGGATTTTCCGTAGTTCAGAGTCTTCAGATTGTTGTGCTAATTGTTTAACTCTGGGTAATTCAAATGCAATTTTAATGATGAATTTTAATAAATAAATGTTAATCTTGTGTTGTTTCATGAATTTTCAGTTTGTTGTTTTCTTGCAAAGACTGATTTTATACTATAATTGTTTTTAGTGAGTGGTGGGGGAAGAAGCGCTCGTATTAATCTAGAAGTAAGAAAGTAAAAATAGATTCCTATCAAAGCCCTGTTATTCCGAAACATCATCTTAGTAGTATATTGTTTGGTATAAGCACTGTAGTTGGAGTTTGCAGACTCCTCGTCTTTTCAGTTGTTCAGTAAACTGAGCCTAGGTTTGAAGAGTGAGACTAGTAGCCCTTTTTGACAGTGTCTTGAGGTTCGTTCCTGTGCAAAGTACTGCTTCCTGTGCTGTGTGGCCATCTGCTGAGTCCACCTTTGCTGAGTATGTCCATCCTGAGTGTGAGGATGCTGTCATCAGAGCTGCTGTCACCTGCCTTGCTGCTCATCCTCTTTGCCTTGTGATGCGACCTTGGCCTTTTCATCATGTGTGCTGACGTGCAGCATCATCCTCAGTGTTCCTGTTTTCATTCTGAACAGTACGTTATTGAATGTTGCTGTGTTTAGCTCATATGCCAGAGCTGATTGATGGCATCCTCCAAACATGTAGGCTAGCTGAGAAGTTCTGCATATTTCCAGAAATTCATTCCAAGCTGATGAATGAGCTGATGCTCAGTTACTGCTAAGCATTATCAGCCTAAGGAGAAGGTTACCCACAAGTCATGTTAGAGTTTAAACATGATGTCTGATAAGGGCTTGAAGTATTTGAGTGTGAGACTGAAAAAAAGTGTATAACCAAAAAATGATCTTTGTAAATATATATGCTCATGAACGATTGTAAGTGTTGATAATGCTTTATGTTCATTGACTTCATGGACAATCCTACACAGTGTCAGCAGAGAAGCATTTATGTTCTGTGGGTAAACCAAGGTCAAGCAGGTGGAGGTCAGTAAAAGACCCAAAACTCTGAACACCTGAACTGGACGTTCTCTCGCTTGTTGTCAGTAAATTAGCTTTACTCTTGATTGAAACATCAAGGTCATAGATCGTGTCTTAGGAAATGGATTTCTAAAGACCTCTTGACCCTTGCACAGTTCCACAGAAACTAATGAGTTTTGCAGCATATCCAGACTACTTCCCAAGAGTCTAGCAGAAAGTCCAGAATTTTGGCTGTTTACTGGCTATTGTTCAACAGCTTTCACTTGAGAAGAGCATGATCAAGGAGAAAGTTGAGTGAGAATTCAGTCATCTTTTAGAAAAAAGAAGTGGTCTCTGGTTATGGCAATTCTAACTCAAGACTGGTTGTGATAGGCCTAAATTTCTTCACAAAATATAATGGAAAAAATGAGCAATTTCTCAATTTTTTGAAGTGGAGAAAAATACACAAAGGTAGGTTGCAGTGCCAGCGCTTTGGCATGAGGTGAAGTGAACCCTGAAAGTTTCCATTCATCTCTGCTGACTGTAATAAGGGACTGGCTCAGCTGCATCTACATTTGGTTAGATGAATCCCACATTAAGGGTCATAAGCTGTTCACAGCTGATATATTAAATTCCACTCAAAAATCATATGACAGAAATGCTGACATTGTATTGTACGTTTACAGAGAAATGGTCCCATTTATCAAGCAGTTATGCTTCTGATTTTATCTAGAGATATTCTTAAGGGAATTTGAGGATTCACATGAACTAGACAGAAATATTAGGAGAAGTAAAAGCAAAAGTAATTTACCGGTTGAGAATCTCAGGCACATACACAAGGACTAACAAAACCAAATACCAATCTAAAGTACTACAAATAATAATAGTAAGGTGTTGTATTTTATACCATTTTTTTCACTCTATTTCAGTTTATTGCAAACATAAGATTATTTTCTTTGTTACTGATGATTTTGGTCTAAAGCTAGCCCAGTTTTTGCTGGCCACCTCTGAGGAAAATACTCAGCACTGATTTCTGCAAAGGCAAAAGCTTTCATCGAAGCAGAGAATAGAAGAGATAACATGGGTTGTGCAAACCGTTATCAGTAATATCTCTTGACAATGAGGAGAGGGAAACGTAACAAGTAGAGAACTTGAGAAACACAAGGAAGATAACGTGAACCTTTGAACCATTCAATTTCAGGAGGAACGTTTTCTATTTCTACAAGAAAGTATAAAGCAAACATACCAATTAACAATCTGGTTAGCTGAACATTTGTAGGCTCTATGCTTTTAATTGTGAAGCAAATGGGTACCCTCAAGTCGTGTGTAAAAACAAATTTTAACAACACAGCTGTTTAAACTGAAAACAGCCCATTGGTGCAGACCCTGAAGAATCACAAGTTCATTGCAAGTTTATCTGATGTAAAAAGATGAATCAAGCATAAGGGATTTAAATGACTAAATTTTATGAATGAAAGAAACTTTGACTGTAAACAGTGCTTATGTAGCTTTTTGAAATAAGACTTGAAGATTGTCAGAGGAATAGAAAAATAATTAAATTGTCTATTCTGAAAAATGTTTGAGATCATTTAGCAAACATTTGGTATAATTCTGTGTTTTCGTATGCAGAGTGAGAAGCTTTAAGTCTGTGTGCTTCTAAGAACTAGTTGTTAGAGACACAAAGCTTTAGCAGTTGTACTGAATATGCTCTGGTCCGTGAGTGCATGTGAGAGTGCATATGTGGTGTTTCTGTTCATGAGCCAGTGGTTGGTTGCAATGAAATTTCACAAAGCATTAAAGTCTAGAAGTTAATTTGCTTGTAGGAAAATATTGATATGAGTCCCTGGACTAAGAGGAAATGCTTCATTTTGCTAGACATCAGCATCCACCCTAAGTGACCATCCCACAGATAAAACCTCCGTTAGATCTTATTTATACCTCATAGACTCCGAAGCCCATCATCCTCAAAGCACAGATGCATCAGAAACCGCGGTTTGCTTATTTCTCAAGCTCTTAGAGTTATATATTTCAGCCTCTTGAGAGAAGATAGAATTTAAAGTTTACAAGTCCAGGACATCTACCATTACTAGGTGGAAATGTGTTGCACTCGTTGTTCAGTCCTTAAAAGATATGCTAACCATTTTCCTGAAAAATTTTGAAGAAATACTATGTCACACTTTGTAGACTGTAGTATGAGCATAATCTGTAGTGAAAAAGGTCCACAACGTAGAAGATCTGAGTAAATGCTTGTAAGCAGAAATAGGGATGGTGCTTGAATCTCCATCATAACTTCAAAATGAAGCTTGATCTCCGCTTGTTGCAGGTGGAAAGCTTCCCAAAGAAGCATCCTTTGGAAAGGAACATGTTTACAGTTTTGACTAGAAAGTTATGACTTGGAACAGCAGTGGCAATGCCAGAACTGTACAAAACGTGGATAGAATCATAGAAAGTTTTGGGTTGGAAGGGACCCCTAGAAGTCATCTAGTCCGACCCCCAAATGGATGGAAGATGAACTATTACTTTACAGACGTCTCTTTCTCATGATCCATCTGTAGTAATCCTTGTTCAGTCCCCTGATGTTTCCTGT